GAGAGAGAGAGAGAGAGAGAGAGAGAGAGAGAGAGAGAGAGAGAGAGAGAGAGAGAGAAACAGAGAGAGAGAGAGAGAGAAGTTTGAGCCAGCAGGGAGTTGCAGAGTAAGCAAACTTACAAAAAGGGGATCTCTCTCTCTCTCTTTTATACACATACACATATACACGGGAAGGTGGTGTGCAGGCGGCGAGAGAGCAAACTTGCAGATTAGCTTTGTGGTCTATTCTTGCCTCCTCCCCTCCCTAAAATCCAGGCAATAATAAAACTCTTTGGATTGAATGGGAAGTTAGGAATTGGTGTGAGTTGAAATTAAAATGCCGAGTCAATTCCCCCCTCCCCAAAAAAAAATATTTTGTCGGAGACAAAAGTACTTCCCTTCTTTTATAATTTAATCCAGCCTTACCCAAACTAATATATTTTGGTGTCATGAACCACAGTTCCCATCATCCTGTGGCTATGCTGGCTAGAAATGAAATGCCTTATTTTCTCTGCAGTATGAGCCTAGGAGGCAGTAGGTCTGTGGGATTTAGATGTATTTAAACATTTGTTTCTTCTGCCTAATTTATTAAATCAACATCTAATTTGAAATTAAAAGTTTCTGAGAAATCCAGGGTGGTTTACAGGAAAACTCTCAAGGACAGCTATTGTAAAGTATCACCAGCATTGCTTAAAACAATATTAAAAGTATGTATTTTAAGAAAGAAAAATATTAGTAGTAATTTACTTAGTGCTGTTTGACCATAAAATGTGTTGTTGTTTTACATATGCCTGGCTGAACAGTATGTTTCGAGTTGCCTCTAAACAGGTGAGGGTTGCACTGTTCATATTTTCCTTGGGAGAAAGTTTTATAATGGGGGTGCTGTCTCTGAGAAGGCTCTGCTTGTGGCCACTGTTCTATAAACCAAACCAGGGGGACCATCTGGTCTAAATGGATGGTAAACATAGATGATTAGGGGGCTGGAGGCTAAAACATATGATGAATGTTTGTGGGAATTGGGTATGTCTAGCTTAGTGAAAAGGACTAGGGGTGGTGACATGATAGCAGTGTTCCAATATTTGATGGGCTGCCACAGAGAAGAAGGGGTCAACCTATTTTCCAAAGCATCAGAAGGCAAATAATAGATGGAAACTAATCAAGAAGAAAACCAGCCTAGAACTAAGGACTTGTGAAAACAACT